TGTAAGGAAATTACTCCGCTAAATTATCCACTGCAAATTGAGAAGCGAAACATTCTTCTGTTTTTCTGGTAAGCGAGGAAGACAGGACTAAAGCAGAGTATAGTATTTCTAGTGATGCCTGCTTACTACGCACTACTGCCAGATCTGTTTTGAAATTTGAGCCCCAAGAAAAAAGGTGTCTACACAATTTTCTCCCCTGCTCATTTCAGGCAGAAGGCATGCAGAGCAGTTTTTTTCTGACCATGTTAACAAAACACAGCACGGACCAGTAACCGTTTCTGACTCAGTAGGTTTTCTGACACACTGGAGCTGGTTTGCTCCAGCTAAGGAAACAAGACTCTCCTGTATGAAGAAGTCTGCTTGCAAATAATGATGGTTAACCCTGTTTTCCTAAACATAAATTAGAACTTAATTGTTCATCTCAGGCATCCGAGGACAAACACGACATTCCCAGGTATGCAGGCCCTGATGTGCACTTCTCTCCACCTTTGAACTGCTGTGCTGGTGTGAGAAATACCTAATCCTGTAATCATCCTTCTTGAGGAAATTAGCCAACCATTATTAGAGGAACCGTAGCCTGCTGCGTGCAATTTCAAAGTTGTCTATGCAACTGTATCTGTGTATGCTGCTTCTCCTGAGGCCCTTTTCCAGTCCACAAGCCCTTTCAAGTAGAGTAACGCCTATCCCCTTTTGCTCTTGTGATGGGACCGATAACCCAACAACTCCCTAACTGCATCTTCCAGCTCCACATCCCAGCATGCCTAACACTTGGCACCTGCAAACATTTTCCTTCAGGAGCCTGCAGAGAAAACCTGTGCCACAGAATGAAATCAAAGTAGGATTTATTTACTTGTGAGGAATTCAAAGAATTAATTTTCAAGAAATGGAGACCTAGGCCTACCCTCTTACCTACAACTTGGAATTTCCTCCGAGCAGCAGGGAGATGTAATTTGGACTCGGTACCTCCCTGTCCCCCAGGGAAATGGAGTACAGCTCGCTTGCAGAGAACCTGCTTTCCCTGCACGTCAGCCTGCAGCAGCTGATGACTGATGCCCTCCTCCCTTTGCATAAGGTCAATTTTCTAATAGATCAATGTCTCTCCATCTCCTCCTCCGTGTTGGCAAGATGCCCTGTCATCCAGGCTGTGGTTGAGAAGTTTCTCCCCACACCTGGAAGCTAACACTGAAGAAAAAACACATTGTTTAAGCCAATGCTCCTGCCTGCTTCTTCCACCAAATTCCTTGCATTCAAAGCCATGTAATAGTCTCAGATACACTAATGGTCATCTGAGATGCATACAAAATGCAAGCTGGAAAATAAGCATATCCATCTGAGCAGCACGCAGGCGTCCTGTGGCTGGGCGTTCTGGATCTAAACACCGAGAATTATGGGGTTCCTACACCCACACTCAAAAGGGTCAGTAACAGGGCTGCAATCACAACACAGTCATCCGAACCTCTGCTCTATCAGCTGCAATATGCAGCACCGTATCATCCCTAATTTTCCATATGTTAATTCTGAAATTCACCACAAACTTACCTAGAAGGTCTGAAATTGAAAGGGAACTACGTGCTTTACAAAGATGAAATCCTTGACTGAAACAGCAATAGGGATTTCTCTATTCCAACCGAATGAATGTTCATATGGTTTCTTAGCTGGGAAAATATCCTTCTCAAGTCAGTAGCTATATGGAGACCAAGTGATTCAGTTGATTAGTTTCTGGCCTTTCACCATTTTAACCCCGCTATAAATCCTAACTCAATTATTAAACTCACTTCTGATTAGGACCAAAATTCCACATCAAGTTTTAGAAAGCTTCTAAAATCTCCCCCTCCTCAAAAGACACATATAATTAAAAGCACAAACCTCTGCCAATTTTATTGCTGAATTTGTCAGAAAAGTTATCAATGGTATTTTGCGGAAGAGGTAAGACTCCTGGGGTCTTCTCTGACCTGAATTAATCTATGACATGTACAGTGAGATCATACCTTAATCCATAAGCAAGTGAGAATCACTCACACATTTTACTCTACATTACAAGAGAACAGTTCTCTTGCAAACAAAACCTGAAAGTCTTTAGACGGTATCTTCTCTTAGTGACAGTTGTTCATTCTAAGTTTAAGCACGCTGAAAAAGACAGTAATGGGAAGAGTTACATGCAGAACACCCCACACAACATGAGAGATACCTAGCCAGAACTAATACTAGTTTCTAACCACAAAGACATCCAAGCCTTTATCTGCTCCTAACTTATCTTAACATATGTCAGACCCAGCCTAATCAGCTGCAGTTTGGCAATGACATGAAACCAATTTTTAAGAGCACGGCTCTACCATTTTCCCTTGTGGCAACCACAGCAATATCTTAGAAAACAGTTTAACCACAAGACTATCACTGCCTGCACTAAGATACTGCACAAAGGAAAGACTTGCACATTGCTACATATTCCTTTTCCACACTCCCATGAATGTGGCGGATAAACACTTCTCCTGCCAAACATTTTACTTCGCTCTTTAACAGTTGGATATGTGTGCAGCACATCAGAAGTACTAATAAAGGAGGATGAAAAGGCATAGGTAACAATCTGATGCTTTAAGTATATCTATGTAAGCAGTAAGGTTGGAAGGCAATAAGTCAGTTGAGCTAATGACTTCAATTCGTGCAGCAAGCTACGCCACGTTATACGTGCTTCTTATTCATACTTAGGCATCTTCAGCTGAGTTAGCTGTCCCAAAAGGTGGCTCAACAGGCTAGGTTATAATAAATAGTTTGGTGTGCAACCCTAATAACGCCCCATATTGGCGTCAGAAGAGGATATTGACAAATGACTTCGCCCAGGAAAGTTGTTCTGGCCCCCATTTAGTAGAAAGCAATCATTTGACACTGTCTAATGACATTAATCAAGCTCTGAACCTTTATTGTTGTATGTCATAGCAAATGCTTAGCATTTTCAGGTCCAAAGTGCTTGACTACACATTGTATATTAAAAAACAAAAGACTTTAATTCATTAAAAATAGACTCTCACGCTAGATTAAGTTCATTTGCTGCACCCGTCCCTGGTCTGCCTTTGTGTGTGGTCTCATTTAAAACAGACACACATGAACCAGAACCTACTTTATTCACAGGAAACAAAAATACTATTGGCTGTCAACCAAAATAACAGACACTGAAAAATGGGAATACCCCTGGGTAAGGAAATTTTAATTAAAAAAAAAAAAAAAAAAAAAAAAAAAGAATGAAAAATGGGAATACCCCTGGGTAAGGAAATTTTAATTTAAAAAAAAAAAAAAAGAAGAAGAAGAAGAAGAAGAAGAAGAAAAAGAAGAAAAGAAATGACAATGACGAAGAAGAAGAAGCTGCCTTCTCTGGGAATTCCTGTTTCATCACCTTTGTCAAAACATCTCACATTGTCTCCTATGTATTTCATAAAGGTCTTTTGCAGATCTATTAAAGCAGCAGCTTCATTTATGCTCACTCTGATCTATATTGATAAAGATTACGAAGCCATTAGATGGCTCATTAAGTTTGTCTTTACTTACCCCCAATTAAGATTTCAGGTGTCTCTGGTTTTGAGCTAATTTCAAAGTGGCTGCCATCTGGGACATTCTTAAGGAACACAATTGGCTCCTTTTGTAATGATATATCACATCTAAAACTCTAAGGCAGCAGTTCTATTACGTGCAATCTCATTTTCCATATGTAGGGTTTTGTGCCTATTGTTTTGGGGGGGTTATTTAGAAATCAATCCAAAGTGCCAAGTTTTGATCCATGGCTTTTACAACATTAAAGCTCCTGCTCACAGCTGACAGTTGAAATGCTATTAGGCATAATGTCCCCTTGCACTTCTCCACAAAAAGAGACTTTTGAGCTTGGGTGTGCAATAAAAAACAGATTCAGACGTAGTCATGAAAAATAATTTTGGTATATGTAACAAGGACGTCCTTTACAGAAAAATCCCTTTTGAAAAGCAGAGATGAGGACCAGCACAGTGAAGTAACTGGAATCTACTAATCTCTTCTTCGGAGAAGAGAGTAGCATGAAAGAGCAAAAAAAGGCAGGCACAGGTCACACCCATCTCTCAAAAAGTGCGCTGTAGAAAGACCTTCCTCTCAGTCCTCCTACTAAGAGGAGGAGAGCTGAATGGGCAATCACCAGAAGGAAACTAATGGTAAACTAACAGTAAACTAATACTGAGGAAGGGAACGGAGAGCACAGGCTCCATTTTGAAATTATGTCAGGCAGAGAGAGCAGAGAACTGTTATGATACAAGAGCACTTGCTGGAGAGAGAACCACATCGCACAGGACTTTGGCAGTGGAGCATTACAGCAGGCTCAGAAAATTTTCAGCGTGGCTTTTAAGTCTTCCATTTTACACTAGGTGATGTTGCAACATACACGGATCCATTTATCAAGATACGGCACGAGGACATCGTGACAGAAATACTATGTAATGAATGCAGCTTTTGTTGATTTGCAAAGAAATAACTGACTTGAAAAAGCTTCTTCGAGAAAATCTTTCAATCAACAACATGAATGCAGTATCTTAACCTACTGCAATTGTGGTATCAATATTGCATGTGAGAAATTAAGTGTTGCCCCATCACACGTTTTGATAACACTTATGAATGCTTATATTTAACTTCGATAAAATAAAATCATTCTAGATTAAACATCAGTCTCAAAAAAGCCAGAGAGAGAGTGACTCTGTGTGTCTATACATATATGTGTGTGTATAACTCCAGCGTGTGTGTGTGTGTGTGTGTATATATATATATGTATAATTCCAGTCGCCTGCTTATAGTTCTGCCACAGACGGAGTTCAGATTGTCATGAGAAACAGGTTAAAGCAGAAGATGCTAACACTACATTTCACTCCATTTTCCCATTATGGCCTGTATCCTTTTTCACTCAGATCCAGAAGGATGGACAAGGATTAAGCATATTCAGCTCAAATTTCTTTACTAGGCAGTGCAGGAGAACAGCACTATTTAGAACCTACCTTGCCCATTTGGTACATGTTTATGCGTTTTTCCTTTCCTGGGGGTTGACTGGCATGATGATGAAGCATTGTTTGTGGCTGTTTTTGTGTCCTCTGTCTCCTCCTCCTCCTCCTCTTCATCCTCGTCATCCTGAGAGCTTCCAAAATATACCATGTTGCTGGGCAGGGCTGGAGAACCTGATCATTATAAAGAAATGGCTCATTAGCATCATTACATTCACTTACTGCACTAACTATATTGATCATAACCTACTTTAGTGTTATGCACAGCAAGGGAAGAGGGGGACTCAGAGATGGAAGGTCACACTAGTGCATGACTAACTGGAGGTTTTTTATTTATTAATTTTTACCAACACGATACATATGTGCTTGAAAAGCAGGGTTCCCCCCCACAAGCACGTTCTATTCATACTTTAGACAATCAAACAGTCTTGCTACAAGCCCTAATTAATAGCTTTGTGTATTCAGAAAACGACTAATGCACATGCTTAATTTCAAATGCGTGCTTAAGTGCCTTACTGAAGTCTTAACGCACAAACTAGAAGCTTACAGCTTTTCTAAACAGAAGAAAAAAGAGCATTTACAAACCAATCTGCATACCGGTAATATTTTTAGGTTGTTATTATTACAATAAAATATTTAAACTTCACAATGCTTTCCAGACCTCTACAATATTGTACACAATGCTTTGCCGTATTCTCGTTCAGTTTTAAACAAAGAGAAAAACCGAGATATTGAGATGCTTAAATTTGCCAAGCAGGTCCCTGGCAAAGGAGTGAAAAGAGCAAAGGTCTCCCGATTCCCTATGTACTCCTCTTGAGGATGTTGCTTCTCATCTCTTGCTTACTTCCCATGATGCTCCCCCTAACCTGCCTTGTTTGCGCAAGGGTAAGATACAACATGCAATTCAGTGAGAGGGAAGCAAGGATTCACAAGCTTAACAACAATACAGGGTTGTAATTTAAATGTAACTCTTGCACAAAATTTCTTTTACGCGTGTCATGCAACAGTGTATAATAGGTTTCCCTGCACTGCATCACAACACGACATGACTGTAGCAAACGAATAACTACTTTTAAATGTACAAATACTGCTGACAACTAATGGACACTCTCCCCTATGCCCGATATTAGTTTCTACTTTGAAATGAGTCTTCTGTCTATCCCCTGGAGGGACAGGTGCCCTAGGAGCCTTCTACTTATTCACAAAAAGATTTTTTTGGTGAAGAAAGGGAAAAAATAGAAAGTCAATAGAAGTGGAGAATGGGGACTCATCGCTTCAATTATTTTCCTGTAGCTAAATAAAACAAAGGACAAAAAGAGCTGGGCTACAGACCAACAACACAAGGTAGTGGCTATTTGGCTTATGCTTCTTTAGGAAACACTTCTGGCTTCAAGCTCTTCAGAACGGCAATTCTGTGTTTTGTTTGGTTTTGAGCTGTTGGTGTTGCCATTGCCAACAACTAACTGAAGCTTATTTTTGGGTTGTGTATTTTCTGCTCCGACCAGGTTTATACAAAATACTCTTAACTACAAAAATTACATTTTAATGAATGGATACCTAAATATGACACAAAACCCGGGATAGGCTGTGTCTGCAATGAACCATCCTTTCCTAAGTGTTTTGGTTGGGATGGAATTAATTTTCTTCATAGTAGTTTGTATGGGGCTATGTTTTGGATTTGTGACCAAAACAGTGTTGATAACACAGGGATGTTTTAGTTACTGCTGAGCAGTGCTTACACAGCGTCAAGGCCTTTTCTGCTTCTCACACCACCCTACCAGTGAGTAGGCTGGGGGTGCACAAGAAGCTGGGAGGGGACACGGCTGGGACAGCTGACCCCAACTGACCAAAGGGATATCCCATGCCGTATGACGTCATGCTCAGCATATAAAGCTGGGGGAAGAAGAAGGAAGGGGGGGGAACGTCCAGAGTTATGGCGTTTGTCTTCCCAAGCAACAATTACGCGTGACCTGCTTTCCTGGAGGTGGCTGAACACCTGCCTGCCGATGGGAAGCAGTGGATGAATTCCTTCTTTTGCTTTGCTTGTGTGCATGGCTTTTGCATTACCTATTAAACTGTCTTTATCTCAACCCATGAGTTTTCTCACTTTTCCCCTGACAATTCTCTCCCCCATCCCACTGGGGGGAGCGAGTGAGTGGCTGTGTGGGGCTTAGCCCCCACCTGTAAAGGTCTTGGTCTCTATAATGGCCCCTTTGGGACTGCGGCTGCCTTGGGAGAAGCAGAAAGAAACTCACCACTGGCACCCCGTGCTGTGCATTGGTGGTAGCCCTGCAACAGCTAGGGGAAACACTGATGCAGCACCTAGGGCATGACAATTCTTTCCCTCTGAAATAACGTACGTATTAATCCACCCAACCTACATGTAAATGTATGGACACACGGTTATCTTAGGGCAAAAGCCTTTTGCATGCCACAACTTTCATATTTATATAGACTAATGATCAAATTAAGACTGATGACATATTTCAAGGCATGGGAGCTGTAGCAACTTACAGAAACAAAAACCTCCACATTTTTTATGTAAGCCCAGAACTTTTTGGCACACTCTAAGCAATCAACCATAGTAGGTAAGAGGTGCTGAGAGGCACATTAATTCTTCTGCTTGGAGGGGAGCTTTAAGTCTCAACAGCAACTAACTAGAAGACTCCAAAACAGTTACTCTAGGACCGTGCTGCCTGAAAAATAAATTGCCTTTTTTCTTCCATCTAGGTACCCAAGTCTGTGGTATGGATTCAGAAGTTATTAGCTCTGCGAGTCTGTACTGTGTATCAGTTCTAATCAGGATCCGAAGTCTGGCACCATCAGCACATTAATGCATTGACAAATGACGGCAGTAAAAGAAACTTACTGTTAGGAATCCTCAAAATTAGATTCAAACATAGGCTGAAATCTCTCTATTATAATTAGAGAAATAGTCAGAAATTTTATCTGAGACACTAAAATAGGAGACCAGATACAGTGTCTACTCTCTAAGCCTCATCTTCCCTAGAGTTCCACATCCCTGAGCTTTTTTGTCAGCTGCTTTCAACAGCAACCAGCAAAAAAATTATCATCTGCGACGCAAATGTTGTTATTACAATAGCAATCTTTTTTCTTTTTTTTTTTTTTTAAAGCACAGAATAAAATATAGTACTGTGTCATTCTGCTTAGAAAGGAGGGAGGGTCTAACCCAAGTGTGAGAGCAGATACAAACTTCACCTAACTCCTGGTATTCAGTTGCTGTAATCTCAGTGCATAAATCTTCAGTCAGAATGACATTTTTTAATCCTTTCCAATCGAGAACTATGAACAACAATGGTTAAACTGCATTCCTGGGACAGCTGGGACTGTTTGGGAACTATATTTCCGAAGAAATTAGACTAGCAACGTCCAATAACACAGGAGAGCCCTGCTAGCCTTCACTTTACTGATCTAAGTGCTCTGCAATATGAGACCTCAGAGAAAAGTTGGCGTTCAGTGTGGGTCACCTCCTCCCCTCCTCCTCCCCCCTAGCTTTTCCCACATATTTATTAAAGTTGACTTGCAAAACAGAAAGAAAGAAAGAAAGAAGAAAAAGGCTGGACTCGTGCATTTTTGTTCTATTTAAGCATTGTTATGGATGGAAGACACTGAAAGAAATCTAAAAGATTTGATTTTTCTTGCTTACTTTTTATATTAGAACTATTTTTATCATCGTCTTTTATAATAAGGTTTCAGTTCTGGAATAGCCTCAAATACTGAGAATTTGTACACACCTATGGGTTGAGCTGGTTAAAACCACTTTCACTTCAAGTCTATGTAGCTAAACATGTCCAAAAGGCTGACAAAACACTAGTTTAAAATATTGAAACAGGCTGCTCAAGCTCAAGATACTGCAAATTCCATCAGTCTGCTCATAAAGTGAAAGACAAGCCTGTAAGTACACTGTGATTTCATTCAAGCTAAAAGAATGACAATTATGTTGATTAGGCAACACCTAACGTGTGTAAGCGTGAGCGGTTGATGTGCACTGGTGGTTTACACCAAGCAAAGAGCTAAGAGAACCCCCCCAAAACTCCTCTTATGGAAATAAAACTCAGACTTCTCATGACTGAAGAACTAATGAAGCTCACACTAGCAAAGCTGCACCATTAAGAGTGGAAGCTAGGTGATCACTCACCTTCTTTATTATAATAAAGATTCCTATCCTAAATATCCCTCATTGTCTCCGAGACCAGACAGGTATGTGTATATGAAGCCATAGCCCATCTCTACAGGGGACCCCATTTGTTACTCAAAGCTGCTGATTTATATAAACAATACTAAGTAGTGTTATTGTAGCCACGAATGTCTAAGACCATTGCAGATGTGGAGAAGAATGTGCGCTCAAGAGCTGGTTTGTTTTTTCCAGCCATATCAGTTGGTCTAACAAAATACATTGCTCTTCCTCATAAATCTGGCCTGTCTTCATCTTAAGTTAAGAACACGGTGGTTTTCCTTACAGACAGACTTCGTTGAGAGTTGTTGCTCTCAGGTTTCTTCATGTATAACAGATATTTATCATGAAAATGATGTATGGCAGCAAGATGATAAAAACCCTCCAAAACGGCATGAGAATAAGGAAAACTGCAGGTTCACCAGATGCATAAATACACACACGTTCACAGAACATACAGTTGTAGGCACTTGCTTGATTTTTTAATTTATGACACACTATTCTGCATATTTTTTTCTTTGCCTGGACGCACTCAGCAGCAGAAACCCATGGGGCAGCTATGCCAGTTCATTCTTGCACACATTTTGCCAGCCAGACAGCAAGAGTAAAGATGAGCAATCATCCCTCCTCTTCCTCTTGCCCTCCCCAGTACCAAGGCATGATTCTCAAAGCCTACCCAGGGCAATCTAAAGAGCGACATTAAAAATTAATTAATAACCAACAGTGAAAGAGAAGAGCTGCAATGCTCCGGATAGAGGGCAACATCTGTGCCTGGGAGGTGGTGCATGCCAGGTCTCAGCACTCTAGGTATATAATTCCCCCCTTCCTCGCTTTCCATCCCCAAGAAAACAGCAGAAAAATCTGAGAGAGAGTTAAGAGAGCCTGTGGCTGTATTGAATTTTACAAGCCTCCTTCTGTGCTGGGAGACCCCAAGTTGTGCAGGCAGCTGCTACCACGGGCCCTGCAGTGGATGAAGGGG